GGGGAGGGAGGGGGTGCACAGCAGTTCTGGGTGTCAGTATTAGAGGGAGAACATAATTTATGGAACAATACTGGACTTCAGGTCAGAAGACCCTTTATTCCTAACTCTGTCCCACAGCTTACAATAAACTGTTGGACAAATCATGCTACTTCTGGGCCACATACTCATCCTCTTGGTAGGAGGTATGCTTAACAATAACCACACCCCATCCTTTTAAAATACTGGCCACCTCCAGAAGTCCATGTAGCAGGTTTAAAACTTTATGGTTTAAAAAGTCATCCTTTGGGGCTGAATGTGTAGCTCAGTGTAGAGAGCTTGCCTAGCATGGTCAAGGCCCTGGGTTCAACCACCAGTATTTGTCTCCCACAAAGCAGCCTGGGTGAATTAATACACCTAAGTTCTTAAAGCCCTCTTTCAGAATGTGGTCCCTCCAGCTTTGTTTGATGGAGGCATGAGACTCTTTAGACGTGCAGCTAGAAGATTTCAAAGCTCAGCTCCAGATTTCTGAATGAACCCTGGAAGCTAAATTGTGGCAGGGGCATAACTACACCTGCTTACTGAAGTTGTGAGCAAGTCATATAAAATTCAGGAAGATACAGATCTATGAGGTTATTGGCAAGCAAGAAATGGAACTTGAGATGTCCTATTTGAAATCCAGGTCGCTGGCTTGTTTTTCTGAACACTGTGTTTCCAAAGATACAACCTGGTGATTTGCAGTGTTAGCTGCAAAATTAACTGTAGCTGAACACAATTCACTCCATCCAACTTTTGTTCTAGAGTGACGAGAGGTGTTCCATTCTTGATAGGTCCTAGGAAGCTTCCTTGGGCTCTGATCTTGAAGCAAGGCTCTCTCTCACTCTCTCTCTCTCTCTCTCTCTCTCTCTCTCTCTCTCCTTTTTTTCTTTTCTTTGGTTTTTCGAGACAGGATTTCTCTGTAGCAGCCTTGGCTGTCCTGGAACTCACAGAGATCCACCTGTCTCTGCTTCCCAATTAAAGGCATGTGCCACCACCGTCAGGAGCAAGGCTCTTTTGCTTGCTAACTCAGAAGAGAAAGTTTCGGGGAGAAATTCAGCAGTAGATTACTGTTGTAAATACTGCTCTAAGGGATGCTAAACTAAATGTGTTTTCCCTTGCCATTAAAAAAGAAGTCTGCTAGCCGGGCGTTGGTGGCGCACACCTTTTTAATCCCAGCACTCGGGAGGCAGAGGCAGGCGGATCTCTGTGAGTTCGAGGCCAGCCTGGTCTCCAGAGTGAGTGGCAGGATAGGCTCCAAAGCAATGCAGAGAAACCCTGTCTCGAAAAAACAACAACAACAACAACAAAAACAAACAAACAAAAAGAAGTCTGCTAAAATAGCAGGGTTAACCAAAAATGTTTACAACATAGATTTAAAATAGTATCTGAAGCCGGGTGGTGGTGGCACATGGGGGGTGGGGAGGGGCAGAGGCAGGCAGATCTCTGTGAGTTCCAGGGCAACCTGGCCTACAAAGCTATAGAGAGAAACCCTGTCTCAAAAAAATAAAAATAAAATGGTATCTGTCCATTGAAATACATGATAAAAATTGTAGTCTCTGCTTGGAATGTGATGTAAGCACTGGTGATAACTATTTAGTATTGTGCACGAGTGTGTGCACATTTGTGTTTAGGTACACATACACGTGTGGATTCTATCAGACAGGCTTGTTGTTCCTCCAGGGCTGTCTACCTTTTTCTTTTTTAAAGACAGGGTCTCATTGACCTGAAGCTCACCAAGTATGTTGGACTACCTGGCCAACAAGCCCTCAGAATCTGCCTATATCTCTGCCTTCCCAGGGCAGGGATTACAAGTGTGTGGCACCATGCCCAGCTTTTTTATGTGGGTTCTGGGATGGAAAACAGGTCCTTGTGCTTGCAAGGCAAAACCTTGATTGGCTGAGCTACCCAGCAATTTAGTTTGCCCTTCCAGTACAGCCCAGGTAAGTATTGTGTTAGCCATCTCTGAGTAATTGTGGAACCACTGTACTAATCCAGTGTGACACCTGTTAGTCAGCAGGCCCCTGTCATCTGGTTACCCACTATTTTTGCTGCTTTTGCAAACACCTGCAGCCCAGTAACACTGAGGTATAGAGAGCTGATAGGCACCTGTGGGTCAGCTCCAAAGCAGTCTGAGAGTTCAAACCATTCACTTGCTTGTTTTTTGTTGTTGTTGATGTTTTGTTTTGAGTTTTGTTTTTTTGAGACAAGGTTTGTCTGTAGCTTTAGGGCTATCTTGGAACTCACTTTGTAGACCCAGCTGGACTCAAACTCACAGAGATCCATCTGTCTCTGCTTCTCAAGTGCTGGGATTAAAGTCACCCACCACCACCGCCTGGCCCATTCATTTGTTTTTAGCACAAAGTGTTCTCCACATAAGAAAACAGACTCTAACTTATCTTTCTCTCCCCTGCCCTCGTATCTTTAAAAACGTCCATCATAACAGGGTATAAAGGGCTTACAATATTAAGCAAGCTTTAAAGGCTACTGAGGAGAATGGGAAACAGTGGCAAACCAAGTCCTTCCTGGTTCTGGTTCCAGTAGCACTGTTCTTGAGTGCTTTGGGAGCAAACCCATAGAAGCAAGCGTTGGGACTCTGTGTCAGAGTGCTCAGGGAAGAAGGGATTCCTACACTAAACTCTGCATCAGGCCCCACAAGCAGATCCTCTACCGACCCAAAGCAGAACTAGTAGCACCAAGGAGAGTAGTGCTTGACATACAGCAGGGACTCGATAAATGTTTGTTAAATGCCGCCATCTGGGAAACTGGTGAGTAGTTGTGTAAATGACTCCTGCAAGCTTCTTATCTCAGTGACTAAAGCCTTTGTGTCATGTGCATTGGATGCATGCCCATTACCTACCTCCTACTTTCTCAACCAGGGTGGTGTTGACATCTTGGGCTAGATAATTCTTTTTGGGGAAGGAGTAGGGAATACTATTTTGTGCATTGTCTAGGACTTAGCTCTACCCTGGCTTCCAACCACTAGATTCCAGTGGTGAACACCACTCCTCATAGGACAACAGTGTCTCCAGACATCACTAAAAGTCCTGATGCCAGGGGATTATGTAAGATGACCCCTGGCTGTACATCACTTACCTAGACTTTACATTCATGGTAGCTATCAGCATCAGAAAGATGACTCTCTCTCTCTCTCTCTCTCTCTCTCTCTCTCTCTCTTTCTTCTCTCTCTCTCTCTCTCTGTTTTCCTTCTTTTATTGTTTTAATTTTTAATTTAATTTAATTTTTTTGCCTATGTGTATGTCTGTGTGCCACGTGTGTGTGTGCCTGGTACCCATGAAAACCAGAAGAGGGCATTGTAGTCCCAGTACTGGAGTTGCGGATGGTTTGTGAGCCACCATGTGGGTGCCGAGAATTGAACTTGGGTCCTCTGGAAAAGCAGCCATTGCTTGTAACTGCTGAACCATCTCTCCATCCCTCCTTGTCATTTTTGAATCAGCATCTCTTGATCTAGCTGTTGAACGCATCAGAGTCTCTTAGCTTGCTTTCATCTAGATCTTTGTATGTACTCTCATATACCTAGCAAGAACTTCCCTGGGAGCCTCTGTGAAAGTTAAGATGACCTATTCTGCCCAAAGGGGAAGGACCTGTAGATGGCAAGGCTGATTTACAGAATGAAAATGGCCTGACTTTGGCCCTAGGAAGGAGGACAGACCCAAGTCCCTAAGTGGAGGCCATGTATACGTGAGCCTCGCATCATCTTTTGCATTAAAAGGAACTATCTTCCTTTGCTTGCTCACATTCTTGCATCTTAATACCAAACCTCCAAGGTGTGTGTGTGTGTATGTGTGTATGTATGTATGTGTGTGTGTGTGTGTGTATGTTTGTGTACATGTATGAATTTATGTACATTTGTATGGAGGCCAGATGTTGAAGGCTAGCATCCTCCCTGATCACTTTTCTACCTTATTTATATGTGTGTAGTGTATGTGTAATATCCATGTACATGTATGTATACCTGCTCATGGAGAGTAGGGGCTACTGGTGGACATCTTCCTCTATCTCTTTTTTACCTTATTTGTGTGCATGTGTGTAATGCATGCACTGTGTGTGTGTGTGTGTGTGTGTGTGTGTGTGTGTGTGTGTGTGTGTGCATTTGGAGGCCAGAGGCTGACATCAAGTATCTTTCAACTATCAGCCTTATCTTTTGAGGTAATACCTCACACAGAACCCAGAGTTTGCTGATTGGCTAAGTTAGCCAGCTAGCCAGCAGACCTTGGGGACCCATCATGCTTTTACACAGTTGCCAAGGGTCTGAACTCAAATCCTCATGCTTGTATCTCAGACACTTTATCAACCAAGCCATCTCCCCAGGCTTTCTCCCTTACTTTTTGAGAAAGGGCTTCTCACTGAACCTGTGGCTTGCTATTTGGCCACAGTGGCAGGCAAATGAGCCCCATGGATCCTCCTGTCTCTACCTCCCCAGCAGTGAGGTTGCAAGCAGACATCCTCACACACAGCTTTTTTTGGGGGGGGGGTTCTGAACTAAAGTTATCATGCTTGCAAGGGAAGCTCTTAGCCAACTGAGTCACCTTCTCAGCAGCTCTCCTTACTGTCTTTTGATGAAGGTATCCCCCTTCCCTGGCTTTGTTTTTATTTACTACATTTATGCTACAAGTATCAGAAAAAAACCTCAGCACAAACTTCAAAGCAGGCTTTCTCAGCAACATAGTAAGTATCCATGCTACCTGGAGGGACCAGCAGTCTTAAGCATCCCAGATAGAGGGATGGTGCAAAGGAAAAACCTAGAACCTTAGAATTCTGACAAAAATCCAGCCAGTGGGCAATCTGCTTGAGAACAACTACACATCCATGTCCAAGGGTGAGAAATAATTTATGACAAGCTCACGAAAAATTCTAATTTCATTCATGTTGCTACAAGTATAGCTTCACGCTTTTAAAATATGTGGGCTGGTAGCATTTTTCTACCTTTCCCTCCTTACAGCGTATAGTTAAACAGGGGCCCTTACCTCTCCTCCGGTGCATGGAAAAGCATCTGAGTATCTAGATGTGCAAATAGCTCCCTTCTTGACAACATCATCTTCCAGGCCAAAAGTAGCTGAGCAGTTGGTTGCAAAGTACTTGTAAGGCTTCCAAGTCTTTCCAAAGTCCTGGGACCGGTCCAGCACCATGGCTGAGGGTCTGGGGGACTTGAACACCATAATTAGGTGAGTAAAGTAGAATTCTGCTTCCAGGTCTAACTGGATCTTTTCTCTGTGCGCATTCTCTGCAGACTGCCACCACGTATGGGGAAACCTGAAGGACGAGTCTGCCATAGCAGAGGGCAGGTGGGCCAGGTGGGAGTGGGCAGCGTTACACTTGTCACATTTGGGCTGCCGGCAAGTGAGATCAGCATTCTCGCTGTAGAAGCAGAACAGTTCAGTGGCGTTCTGACCACAGGTGCTGTCTGTCCGGAGTTTTCTTCCCAAAGCCAAGTTTCCCATGCGAGGGTTGCAGGCCTTCTCACAGCGGGAATTAGCTCCGGCTACTCCACTCAGTCCTAAGGAGGGGAGAGCTTATGTCATTCAAGACAAACCCATCGGGAATAGACATGATCTGCTATGTGCCTGATTTATCTACAACAGTCAAGGTATCCTCCTTCCTTTCTCTAAAAAGAAGCTGCCAAACTGGACCATAAACAAGGTTGGACACGCACAGTGATTCATGTACACAAGCATGTGTGCGCTTGAAAGATAGATGATAGTGTGTTCATGTGTGCAGTTGTATGTGTGTACAAGTAAGTGTGCACAAGGCATATGGAGGCCAGAATACTGTATGTGTGCGTGCATGTATGTACATGCATGTGTACCACGTGAACACAGGTGCATGAAGGAGCCAGAAGAGGGTACTGGATCCCCTGGAACTGTAGTTACGGATAGTTGTGAGTCCTAGTGTTCAGTGCTAGGAACAGAACCCATGTCCTCTGCAAAAGCAGCAAGTGCTCTCAATCACGGAACCCTCTCTCCAGCCCTTCACCTTGTGCTTTTTTAGACAGGGTCTCACTGGCCTAGAACTTGCCAAGTAGGTTAGACTAGCTAGCCCGTGAGACCTGGGTCTACTGGTCCCAGCCTCTCCAGTGTGGGGTTGTGGGGGTCCCTCCCACACCTCACTTTTTTATGTGATTGCTAAGGATGGGACTCGGCATCTCGTGTTTGTATAACAAGCATTTTAGCAACTGAGCTAGTGATCTCCCTGTCTCCTTCATTTTCTTTATTAGTTCTCTAGGAAATCCAACACAAGATATTTAATAAATATACAATGACACCTCAGTTCTCAAATGTGTGGTATCCATGTCTAATACTAACTAAATATAACTATTTAAAAAAACAAAAACACCCTCCAAACTACCAATGACCAGAAAGCTTTCTGTCCCTGCTTTCTGCTTCTTAAGTGTCTCTTCCTGTGGCAGGTTGTATGGTACTTACCTGTTGGCTTAGCTGGAAAATGTTGATGGTCTGGCACACCAAACTGCACCTCTCACAACTGCCATGAACTAAACATCCTCTTAAAGAGACAGACCTGCCCTCCCAAAGCTCCCAGCCACCTTAATGCTTCAGGAGTACTTAGAGTGGTAAACACTACCCACTTAATCACATTCTGGCTACATGTCATAATCCTTTAATTTGGGTTTGTCATTTTAATTGTGACTGCCATAAGCAAAAAAATTGTCCATTTAAGAAAAATTAAAACACAGAGGAAAAGAAGGAAAAGGAAACCAAAGCCCAAACTCTGGCTAATTGGATGTTTCTGTTTAAGAGACAGACCTCTGAATTGTTATCACAGGGGGCATTGGGTGGAGCCAAATGACAGCTTTGACTGGAGAGGGGAGATTTCACACAGTGACAATCACTACCTCACACAGGCTTGCAACCAAAATAAGGGGTTTCCTCAGGCATTATTTTTTAAGTGTCAAATGAACATGTGCACCATGCCCAGACTGTTTGCTATTGTTCTGATTAGCGGGCACAACAGCTGCCTGTGGCCAGAAACACACAAACACAGTGTTCTATGACTCACCTGAGAAACATTCCAGGGGGAAAAGCGCATACTGCCTGTACAAGTATCTTTGACTTGCAACACTCGCCTTGTGATGTTTATTTACAACCTCTTGATTGCTCCCGTGGTTTATTATTTTTTTTGTCATAACATGGCTTGAAAAGGGGGGGGAAGTTTATGAAAAGTTCACTTTTTGTGGGAGCGTGGATGTGTAATGCACAGTAAGGAGTGTGAGCAGGAAGAATTCAAGTGAGATCTTTAACAGTGAGATGTTTGACGGATCCTTGGGAAAAATAATAAATAAAAGTTTCCACACCCTAATAATTTGATAATAAATAGTTATCAGTGAGCAAAAACAGTGGTGATCCCTGAAGAGATGACAGGGGGGGGGGGAAGAGTATGGACTGAAAGAGGAGGCTTACTCTCCAGCCAGCAGCTCTGAGGAGAGAGTGGAAGCAGCCCTACCCAAGAGATGCATGCTACAATGCTCTGAATCTTCCAGTCGGTTCCTCTAACCCATATTCTGCTTTCTGGAGCAAGTCACGTCCATCTGAGGGAGGATGAAATCAGGGTGCCTCACAATCTTTACCCTGTACCCCACTGTGCTGTACTTAGCCCAACTGAAAGCCAGGTGTCCTGCGAGAAAGAAGGGAGAGGAGCAGAGAGGGGCTCAGGGACTCAGAAACAGCAAACCTGGAACCGGTGGCCTAAGGGCAGTCCAAGAGAGCCAGGACCCGAGTGGGAGGGAGAGGGCATCTGACGGTTGCCCATAGTCCAGTTACTGAGCCAAGGAGCAGACCCGCCTCCGACCTCCTGCAGAGCCTCGACCAGGGTACCAATTCCCCAGGGGCGGTCAGCCAGCTCCGGGCAATCACCACCTGAGTGATCACCCCCCATGGTCCCCAGCTCCGAGTTCTACTGCCTTGCAGCCACCGCCCCGGGGAAGAGGGCGCTCACCCTCACCCCAGGTGGCCCTACCTGGTTCCCAAGTACACAAGAGTGAGATCCGGGAAGGTGGTGATCGCTCTAACTGAGAAAGCGGTCTCGGCCCACGCAAGCTCGTCACTCCTCAGGCCATGGAGAGCCCGGGGATGGCGAGCTGGGTCCTTTGTTCCCCTCGCCAAGTGCAAAGGCAGTTTTTTTCTCAAGCCAAACCCAGAAAGAAACACTGATCTCTCTATCTCCTGCAGGGCGTACCCAGGATATCTGGTTATTCAAGGACATGTGTATCTCAGTTGCAGGGGGAAAAAAAAATCAAGTGTTTGAAAGTGCGGAGTCGCGGGCAAAGGAGACGGAACATGGCCACTCGCTTCATCCTCGGTAGCAGAGCTCAGGGCTCCCTGTCCGGGGTCCCTACATCCCCACAGTCCCCGAGCTTGGGGGGTGGGCAGGAGCAAGGGAAGAGGGGTGGGGGCCCGGCCCGCTCCCCCACCCCCCTGCGCCCACCGCCGAGCAGCCCCAGAGCAGCAGCAGCCGTGCGCAGCTCCCCATGGCCGGGCAGCGGCGGGAGCCGGTGGGATGAAGCGGCAGTGGTCCTCGGGAGCACCCGGGGCTCTGTGGTTCTTCCTCCTCCCGGGACGCCAGGCTCGCTCAGTGGGCACCGTGGGCACGGAGCCGCGGGCCGGGACCGTGCCGGGCGGCGGGGTGACCGTCGCGCACCGGCCTGGCGGGGCCCGGGCAGCTCAGGAGCGGCGGGAGCCCCGGGACCATAGCCGGCCTGGCCTCTGCCCGCAGAGCGGCCCGGAGGGCGGGTGAGCCGCTCGCCCGGGGCTCGGCGCCGGCAGCCAACGCTGAACTTTTCGAGACCTTTTACTTCCCCGCCGCCGCCCCCCCCCCCGCGCGCGCTTGACAGCCCGGGCGGTGCAGAGGCTCGGTCCAGTCGTAGTCACCGGGCGCCCCGGGCGGGGTCCCGGACGCCCCCGCTGTGCGCATCTCCCCGCCTGACCTCGCGGGTGCCCTCCAGCACCCACGGGCCTCGCCTGGGAAGCAGTCTCCCACCTTCTCCAGGAACATTCCTGAGAGCAGTTGACTCCCTCCCGATCAGGTCAGGGCATGCCAAGGGGCTTAAAAACCCGCGAAACAGGCGAGCTACTACTTTCCAAAATCACCCACAAAAACAAGCCTACATCCCTCCACTCCACTGCACACCCTTTCTCTGGGAGCTCCACGGTCTGGGTTCAGAAACCCCAATTCAGCCCAGGGTACCCGCACTGAGCGCGCGCCAAGTGCCAAGTGTCCTCTGAGTCTTTGCCACCTTTTGGGGGGTGCAGCCCAGCTAACAGCTGCTGCCTACAGGAACCGAGGGTTTACGGGTTCTCTCGTCAAACTCAAGGGTCTGAAAGCCCAGGATCTCTGACCAGGGAATGGGCTCTTTAAGAACATCCCGGTCTAGAGCAGGGATGTAACAAAGAGAACCCCTGGGTCCTCGGTGCACATTTTTTAGAGTATGGTTTGCAGGGGAACGATAATGTTATGAAATATCTTATGGGGAGCAATTTAGCAGCAACCACAAAGCAGCTAATTGTAGCTCAGGGCTGGTGTTTATGGAAGGAGATTAAATAGCACTTCAGCCTGGGACTTCTCTAACTGCTGTGAAAATATAATTCTGCTTACACATCCCAGGAAACTGGCAAAAGTTAAGTCGAATACAATTTTGTATTGCAGCATTCAGTGTTTGCCTTTGAATATTTTCCAGAAAATTAACTGCTTTTCAGATAACATTCAGTTATAAATCGTCAACATTATCGATGGGACAATTAGAGCTTCGGGGACATCGTAGATGTTATTTATAATGACCCAGATGGGGACATATAAGTTTCTATTTCCCTGAGTTGAGGTTAGCATAAGCCACTTGGGAGGCGTTAAAATTATTCTTTTGGCCAATAACTGGAAGTGGCAGACGAAGGGGGCGCCGCCATTAGCTTTGGAAAACAAACCCTCTGAGTTTTCAAATCCTGGCAATGTTGGAGCCATCTTTGGCTCGCACAGATAATGCTCCCGATGAAGTCGCTAAACTGCCGCTCCAACTATTCTTTCTATTAAACAAATGATAGGGAATTACAACAAGCTAAGGCCCTTGGCCCAAAGGGACCTTGGCCCCTTGGTCTACTGGCCAAGAGAAAGACAGTATTTACTATTAATCTCTGAGTCAATATATTGAGCAGAGCTGATCCATGTCTGGTTATGAATTTCTGAAACATTTTCATTCTGCACCAATGCTGTGAACTTCCCTGGTTGCTTTGTAACTGGTTTTTTGCTCCTTTAAGAAAACTTCAAGCTCCTTAAATGGCAGCTAGACACTTAGTCTATGCAAGACACAATTATGTTTTCTCTTCCTTTGCTCGTTATTCTTAACTGAAGACACTTGTCATGCATGCAATAAATGTTCACTGAATGTTTTGACTGAGTTATCTCAAAACTATTGTTATATGCTAAGAATAGAAACCGAGGTGAAAACCAGCTAAATAAGAGTGACTTCCAGCATTCTAGTGGAATGTGTGCTCTCTGCACCAATGCTTCATGTGTGTACTAGCTCAAAAAGAAAAGGTAGTGAGTATTCTAACAAATGCTATTAGGATGCCATGTGATGGTTCCTGCCTGGAATCCTCCCACTTGATGGTAGAGGCAGGAGGATCAAGCTCTCAGGGCCAGCTTTGGCTACATAACGAGTTTGAGGCTAGCCACAACTACTTAAAAAATGCTTATCTATTCTAAGTTGTCACAAATTATATTTTCATTTTGAGGAAAGGACTCAAGAGAGTTGATCAATGTAAGTAAATCTCAGGGGTGAGGATATTACTGATTATGATTTTGTGTTATGAAATTTGCAAGAACTGATTCAGAATTTTCTAAGTGTCGTGGATTACATGGGGGGGGGTTGAAGAAATCACAGAATTTCAACAGCAAGTTTCCAAATGTCTTGACAATTTTTAAGTTTATTTTTATTTTTATGTGTGTTGGTATTTTGCCAAGGAAGTGGAGTTACAGACAGGTATGAGCTGCCATGTGGGTGATGGGAATTGAACCCAGGGCCTCTGGAAGAGCAACCAGTGCTTTTAACTGCTCAGCCATCTCTCCAGCCCCTTGTCTTGATAAATTTAATTGAGATTATTCCTCACAACTTGGAAAGATGTTAAAAAGGGCCTCTAATATCTAAAATAGATGGCAAAAAACTCACACACCAAAGTACTTACTCACGAGTGACCCTGAGCCATATTTAAATTTTTCCCCCAATCTCAGTGTGTCTCCTTGGGGTACTTTTGGGGGCTCAGTGTGTTAGGATAACATGCTCAAATGCAGCAGGATCCTGTTAAGGAGAAGGAATGAACCAAGGCTGAGTAGTAATCAAGAGGATAGTGAAATTGGAACAGTAGACATGAAGACAAACGCATAAGCAGCAATATCTATCCCCCCCTAATAGAAGTCCCCCCAGCAGTTGAGGGCCTGTTAGCCCAGAGATAAAGCATCACAGGGTGATGAAGAGACTGCTCTATAAAAACTCAGGACAAAACCTGATGACTGAAGCCTGGGCCCCAACTTCTTGCCCCACCAGGAGCTCTGCTTTCACCATGAAAACTTTGCCCATTGGCCATGCAATTTTCCTTCTGAGCATCCCAATAAGTAAAAGACTCAAAGCAACCCTTCTGTTTTCAGGACTCTTTTATGTAACTGTGGCATTTACCTTCTTATAGGCATTTGCAACTATACAAAGTAAAATACAAGTTCTCTCTCTCTCTCTCTCTCTCTCTCTCTCTCTCTCTCTCTCTCTCTGTGTGTGTGTGTGTGTGTGTGTGTGTGTGTGTGTGTGTGTGTTCTAACCCATAGAGAACTGTACAAAGAGAAAGTGACAGGAGAGATGTCACCATTAAACTTAGATCGTAAGTATGTAAACGCCGGTAAATGCCTGATGAATGTAATGGGGCCTAGGTTTGTAGACCAGAATCTCATCGCTAGTCAGTCTTCTGTGGCTACAACCTTCTCTCTCTTTGGAGCTGGGAGAGCTTGTGGTGAAGGCTGGATGGAGAGATGTTCCCACTGAAATCATTTCCCTTTCTGCTTTCTTCCTGGCCTCTGCCCTTCAGTTGTCCTTTAGGAACATCACTTTAGGAATTTCCTCAAGCTTTAATCTAAACCTCTCGCCAATGGCACCGTTTCTTATTTCACGTGTTCCCTGGCCACAGCTGCTTGTTCCCAGGGAGGAGGAGGGAGACTGTTGAAAACACACCAGCTCTTCCAGGAAGGTAACCGGTACCTTTCTTTACAAAACATGCTCACCTGCTCTCTTGTGTTCTAATGAATGAGATGGAGCTGAGAAAATGTAAAGCAACAAGCTCACACCTCTGTTACTAATGCCACTACCAAAGGTGCGGCATCCACAAATGCCGGGAGTCATTTGCTGCTCAAAGACTGTTAGCTCCAATCACCTTAGGTAAGAGCTCTTCCAATGAGATACATCCCTCCCTCACACACACACACACCTTCCCGCTGTGGAATAATCCTTCTGTACACGTGAAAATGTGTTGCTCCCATTGTTAGTAAAAAGCTGATTGGCGATAGCTAGGTGGGATTTTCTGGGCAGAGAGAATGCTGGGAAGAAGGGTAGTATCTGAGGAGCCTCCAGCCACATGAGAAAGAAGCAACTCCGGAAGTTCATAGATGAGATAAATGAACCTTGGAGCAGCACATAGATTGATAGAATTGGGTTACTTGAAGTTGTATGAACTGGCTGGAGATAAGCCTGAGCTATTGGCCAAGCATTTATAATTAATATTAAGTCTCTATGTGGTTATTTGGGAACTGACTGCCTACACCTTCCTTTTTTTTTTTTTTTATAATTTTGAGACAAGATTTCTTTAAGTTATCCAGGATGGTCCTGAGTTCAACATTTCAACTGGTAATCCTCCTGCCTTGGCCTCTTGAGTAATCTGGAGTTACAGATGTGTGCTGTCAGCTATTACTTTATATTTTAATTCAGAGGGATAAAGAGAACAAACAACCACTAAAGGCCTCGTGAGGAGGAAAGACTAGTAAATAGGGGGATTCCTTTTGTTTATATCTTTGATATAGTAGTGTAGTGGTTAGGAACATGAAATATGGACTCTGATGTTCCTGGGTCTTTGGCTTACTGTTTGAGCATGGGCAAGTTAGTTGATGGTTGTGTGTGTCCTTCCAACATTTCTATATGGGGATGATAACAGTGTCTAATTCATAAGGATGTTATGAACACCATGTGAGTTAGTATTCAGAAAAGCACAAGACATAATTTTGTATTTAAATACAAAATATAAAAATGTTAGTCCATCATATACTCTTGACCTGACTTGAAATATCATTTTTGAGTTATACACAGGGAGTCAGTAGGAGAAGGTAAATAGTGGCCCTGGCTTAGTTTTAAAAATGGCTTTCTTTCTATGAGACATGAGATAAAACCATGAGATAAAGCCAACCCCCAGCTGGAGGGCTGAAGGAATTGGCATTAAGTGATCGTCATAAATAATGAGCGCCATCTGTGTGACGGTTGGATTGGAACTATCCACTGGACCCTGGTGGGGTTACAGTAGATAT